TATAAATTAGGAAAAAAAATTACATTGTGCCTGGCAGGAAGAATCCTTTTGTCTCTACTGATTTTTGTCACAATGACAGGGAGGCCTGAGCCTGTTAGGGAAAGGACAATACCTGCCCAGAGTTCATGCCCAGAGGCAGGGCGGGAGGCAGGAAAAGGCTCTTTCTTTCCAGTGTCTCGTCGCAGTGCCTGCTGTCACGCGGACTCTACCGCCCCGTGACTCAGGGGATGTCTGTCCTGTAAGATCCCACACCAAACGGAAGCCTTCAGTGAGTGCTCAGCACCGGCCTTGGTTCCTGGCCATCCCCCAGAGAAGACAGCAGTGGTGCTGACTTCATGGAAAGGTATGATCTGATCGCTGATGCTTGAGGGCTTTTCAAAGGGTAATTCCGACAATAGAGGATCTGTGCCTTCCCACTGACCTTAGAATCTAAAGTTGTCAAATGCCATTGTGCCCCTGCCCATCGCCTTTCAATCTGTCTCTTCCTGTGCACTTGCTGTGAAGAGTGGGGCCCCGAGCAGTCCCTGGCTTCCTTCAGCAGCAGCCAGGCCCTGGGTTGGCAGCATGTGGCCTGTCCGTGTGGCTCTCGGGTCTTGGCTGCTACAAGAAAGGTCATCGTTGGAACCACCAGTCTGATTTCTCAACTGCAGAAAGGACCACGGTGCGCCATTGCTTACAAGCCTTAAAAGGCACGTACTTGTCTGTAGTCTAAAATCCAGACAATTTGGTGCTGAACATTGTGCCCCACACCCAGCTTCACTTTTTCTGGGTGCCCTGGCTCTCTCCGCATTCTCAAGCTGCACAGTTTTCCCCTAGCTACAGTCTGAGCTGGAATGTCTGCCAAAGGCCCTGGGTTACGGGCTTGGCCTCCATGCTGGTGCTATCAGGAGTGATTGAACTTTTATGAATAAGGCCTCATGGGAGGACCTAGGTCACTGGAGAATGCCCTCAGACCAGAGGGTGTGACCCTGGTCTCTTCCTCTCCCTTCTGCTTCCTTCCATGAGGGAGAGGCTTCCCTTGCCACACCCTTCCGCCAGGAGGTGTTGCCCTGTCACAGCCCAAAAGCAGTGGGCCAAAGAGTCACAACAGTGAGCTAACATAAACCTTTTCTCTTCTTAAATTATTTGAGATGTTTTGGTATAGTAAAAGAAAGCTAACACACCCACCTCCCATCTTTTAGGAACACTCTTTCCTTTTAACACACCTCTCCTGGAATAGTCACTCCTCTTTTGGTGGAATATTCAATACACTGTCTTACTTGCAACTGTCTTCCTCGAAAACATGGCTTTGCATCCCTACATACAGCACGACCACTGGAAATGCAGAACTCTGAAGATGTTGGGCTGCAGGAACGAGTCCACAGGGGCTCCTCCCTCTGCATCAGTCCCGGACTGGGAGGAAGGGCAGAACCGGGAGCTGAGGTGAACTGGTGCAAGCTGGCAGTGGCAGGAGTTGGTGTCAAACCTATCAATGTCCACACACCCAGGCAGTATGGCTGTGACCACAGTCTTGCGCATGAAACCAAAACCAAGGAGAGAGAAAAAGACCATCTTTTCTATGCAATGCTTACCATATGTCTCCTAGACTGCACAGCTGGTCAGTGGTTTCAGTAATAGGAAGTCTGATTTTCAACGCCACGGAAATGATTTAGGAGGATGCTAAGAGGTTACCAATTCCCACTACAGCAGAAATTTCCTATATGACAACGCAGGGAGGTGAAAATTACCTGAGGCCCAAACACCTCTGGGATGGAGAGCTGTCAACTTCACGGAGCAGCCTGTTTTATTTTAAAGAAATGTTTCATTTCAATTTCAACAGTTCTCTCCCCATTGACTTAAATGACTGCTCTAGATCTTGGATCATGCACACTACCTCTGGACGGAAAGCTTGCACTCACCAGTATCCCATCTCCTGATGATGAGGCCCCAGATGCTTCCATCCCGTGTATCTCTGTGCACACTGATGGCCTTATTTCAGCACACTGAGGACAGCAAGAAAGAATTCATCTGGTGGCAAACTCCTATTTATTTTGCAGATTAATCCCAGGGCCTCACACATACAAGGCAAATCCTCTACCACTGAGCTATGCCTTACCCTAGAAAACTAGTTTTGGTACCAGGAATTCAGCTCAGGACCTTGCACTTGCCAGGTAGGCACTGGGCTGCTGAGCTATATCCTCAGCCTACAAACTTTTTTTCCCCGCAAATTTTTTAAAACATAAGATAAAGTATCATCCTGCTAACTCAACCCTTACGCTTCCTTTGAATATATCAGGGTTCAGGTTCTGTCTCTCTCATCTACATAGCAACATCATCAAGGATCTCTGTTGTGGACTCACCTGCTGCAACATGATGGACAGTGGTTCTGCTCAGAAGGTACAACTGTCCAGCCAGCGGCTCCACTTTAGGAAGCTGCATGGCCCCTTGGCCATCTACAAGGAGTTGGGCAATGCCAAGGTGCAGCATCCCTGGGAATTTGGGGCACATGGCCTTCTGTGTTGGCCTGTGAAGCCCTGTTCTGCAGTGCTATGTTCTCAAGGTATGGCCTAACCCCCCTAAACAAGATAAAGCCTCAAAGCTCAGCCCTGTTGTGGCTATGATTCCTGTCCCTGAGATTGCTGTCTTAGAACTGGCAGGAATCTTAACGCTTGGAGCTGCTCTGCCTTTGCAGCTGAAAGACAGACAGCTCAGCTCTGGACAAAATATCACCCCAAATACTAAGCCCAACTTCTTTTCATGAGGATGGAGAAAACAGCAGAGTGAAAGCTGGAACTTCTCAGGATGTACCCATCCTCACTTCATACTTCTGGGCACCAGCCTTGGTCTTTCCATTTTAATTAACCAGTGAACCAGCCTCTACCTTTCAAAGGAATCTGAAGGAAACCCTTCTGCCAAGTCCCAACTGAATCCCTGTGACACTCAAGAACCTGGGCCAGGCTCTTGTGTAGGTTAAGGAAGTACAAGAGGAATAAAGATTATAGGGAAACAGTCTACCTTTCTTTACAAGCCTTGTTTTGCATCCCTGACATCTCAGATTCAGCTATTACAATGAAGTCCTGTTGTAGAAAGAGCTAGCCTTTTATCATCACTTAAAATCTAATTAATCCATATTGAAGCACAAAGATTTCTGTTGTACTTTAGGGTGAGGGGTCATAGAGCCCTCTTTGTTCATCCTTAGACTTATAATCATCAAGCATTGGGGATATAATTTTACCAAGCAAATTGGAAGGTAACAGATCAAATCCTTATCAGAAAGCCTAACTCAGTTTTAACAGAGTCCTTCGTCCTTTACAGGAAACATTATATTCGAGTGGAACAAAAAGCATTTCAGAGGGCCCAAAGTTAATGACCAAAGCTTATATTTCAGGCAGCATAGGACCAAAGTCACACTATTGTCAACTACAAGACAGCAGATCCTATAGGGTGGTAGAGTCGTGAGATTGTTGCAATGGCTTTAGTCTTTAGAGCAGCAATGCAATCGGTTGGGCTTTCATTATCTTTGCTGGGATGGGTTTTAGCCATCATTACAACTTATCTGCCACACTGGAAGAACCTCAACCTGGACTTAAACGAAATGGAAAACTGGACCATGGGACTGTGGAAAACCTGCGTCATCCAGGAAGAAGTGGGGAGGCAGTGCAAGGACTTTGATTCCTTCCTGGCTTTGCCGGCTGAACTCAGGATCTCCCGGATTTTAATGTTTCTGTCAAATGCGCTGGGGTTTCTAGGCCTGCTGGTCTCAGGGCTTGGCCTGGACTGCCTGAGAATTGGACAGAGACAGCAAGATCTCAAGAGGCGGCTGCTAATCCTGGGAGGAATTCTGCTCTGGACCTCAGGAGTCACGGCCCTCATCCCCGTCTCTTGGGTTGCCCACATCACAGTCCAGGAGTTCTGGGACGAGACCATCCCAGAGATTGTCCCCAGGTGGGAGTTTGGGGAAGCCCTGTTTCTTGGCTGGTTTGCTGGGTTTTCTCTTCTGCTGGGAGGGTGTCTGCTTCACTGTGCAGCCTGCTCAGCCTCAGCTCCTGGAGTTTCAGGCTGCTATGCAGTGGCAGAAATGCAACCCCAGTGTCCATACCTGGAGAATGGAACTGTGGATCCTCAAGTGTAAGGGGTCGACAAGGCCAGCACTGCACTGTGTCAGCTGTCATGAAGAGGTGTTTGTTATGTAACTAAATTTGTGCTGCTCACATTTCCTAACTATTTTTCTATACTAGACTCTTGCCTCCCAAATCTGGAGAACAATGAAGGGAAATTTTATGTCTAAAAGAAAACCTTACGGCGAGCATTATATAGGTATGGTGAAAAAGTGTCATCGACCTGGTTATTTAGATCAACATGCAGTAGGGGTTGCTGAATATCTTCGGTCTGGAGCTTTGCTGCATTAATTTTATATTTGGAAGCTTTGTTGTTACTTTTATTGGTAGCTGCAAATGAATAAATAGTTTCTGTTTTCTAAAGACAATAATGACAATCTGTGTTGTACGTTTAATAAAACCACATGGTAAGTCAACCCCAAAGTGTCATTTCCACAACAATGACTCTGCTCTTCTTTGAACAGAAGAAGCTGTGTCTAGAAACTCCTTGGCCTCTTGTTTAATTTCATGGGGCAAAAGGTTTTCAGTACATTGTGATACGCTTTAGTTTTTAAATAATAACAAATCTCTTAACTTTCCTCAAAATCTTCATATTTAAAAAATTCCAAAAACATCTTTCTCGATATCCAGATACTGTCAGTTACTTGTCAGAATGAAAGCTTTCCTGTTCATTTAAAAATTACTATATAGAATATATTTTAGTGGCAAACAGAAATGTTAATTCTAACCTACCAAGTCCTATTGCTTAATTTCCCCACGACACGGAAAGCATATTTCAGCACAGGAATAAAGAGTGTTTGTGCACATGTGACTGAACTTAACAGAAAGGCATGTAGATAAATGGGCTTGATATTTAGTTCAGTATTGTTTCATATGCTGTGTGGCATTCGTAGCCAAGGAGATTTAAAAAGAGGCCTGAGAGAAGGTCTAGAGAGATTTCTGATAAGATTGATTTATTTGGTTAAGAAATACTTTTCTTGAACCTATTTTAAAAAAAGGTAACACCAGAATTATCATAACAAAACACATTGAAATGTGAGAACTATAACAAGATGAAAATCTGACAGGTACAATTAGTATGACATAAAGCAGGAGGAGGTGAACCAAAACCTTCAATTAAACATTTTGGCATTTACACTTCTTAATTCTTTGACTTGTTAAAATGGTTGGGGAACAACATGAAAGCCATTTATAGCTTAACAATGAAAGGAGGATTAGTACTACTTAATTTTATTCCACTGACAAAGTGCCTTCTACAAAATCCAGCCCATAGGACATGAACATGATCTTGGCCACACCTTGGCATTACTGGTTTGCAGCATTATTTCCCTATCCGTTCCTGAAACCTTTCTACATGGGCTCAAACAATAGCAACTCTGGCAAGAATCCTCCTATATACACAGTGAAAAAATATCTCTGAGCTCTGCAAGTGATAAATCAAGTGTCACACTTCTTTTCGTAACACCTGAAGGGCAGAAGTCAGGTTGGCTAAAATCCGGACTCTATAATGGCTTTAGTCTTTAGAACAGCAATGCAATCGGTTGGGCTTTTATCCTCTCTGCTGGGATGGGTTTTATCCTGCCTTACAAACTACCTGCCATACTGGAAGAACCTCAACCTGGACTTAAACGAAATGGAAAACTGGACCATGGGACTGTGGAAAACCTGCGTCATCCAGGAAGAAGTGGGGAGGCAGTGCAAGGACTTTGATTCCTTCCTGGCTTTGCCGGCTGAACTCAGGATCTCCCGGATTTTAATGTTTCTGTCAAATGCGCTGGGGTTTCTAGGCCTGCTGGTCTCAGGGCTTGGCCTGGACTGCCTGAGAATTGGACAGAGACAGCAAGATCTCAAGAGGCGGCTGCTAATCCTGGGAGGAATTCTGCTCTGGACCTCAGGAGTCACGGCCCTCATCCCCGTCTCTTGGGTTGCCCACATCACAGTCCAGGAGTTCTGGGACGAGACCATCCCAGAGATTGTCCCCAGGTGGGAGTTTGGGGAAGCCCTGTTTCTTGGCTGGTTTGCTGGGTTTTCTCTTCTGCTGGGAGGGTGTCTGCTTCACTTTGCAGTCTGTTCAGTCTCAGCTCCTGGAGCTTCGGGCCGCTACGCAGTGGCAGAAACACAAGATCCCTGCCAACAGCTGGAAATGAAACACACCACTCTGGAACTCTAGGCCAGCGGGATCAGTGGTGTCGCTCTTCGGGAGACGCTTGTCAGCGCTGGATTTGGCAGGCGCTCCCACTACATAGTCACCCACTCACTGTGCTTTCAATTGTCTAAAATACCTTTTCTGCCCTGTGGCTGTTAGCTTCTTTAAAAAGTTCTTCTCTGAGATTGGTAAGCCACTTTTATTTTCTACCTGGAGACCGAAACCAATCAAGACCTAACAGTAATCACATTCATTACTGTACATGGTTTTTTTTCCCCATTTTAAAATAGGCTCAGTGATTACACAGAACTGGCAAATAAAACATTATATTAGTACTTGTATATCTTTGAAGGTATTATTCATATGGAAATGAATCATGTTAGCAATTAGAGATGTTCTTCTAATCATTTACTTCTTTCAGCCTGTTAAGACAACTGACTATAATGAGAATAATGTCTCAGTGCATATTTATTTGAAATGCGTGACACTTGAGTACACTAAAAACAACTGCTGGTTCATCAAAGGTGTTAAAGGTCTGAGACAAGGGGCATATTAATCCTCAGTTAGAGGTCTCAGCGCCTCCATAGAGCCTTTGCCAAAGTCAGCCCCACTCACTGCCTTCAAGCACAGAAACACAATTTCACATTTTTGAATCATGTAGAATTTGCCACACAAACGTGCTCCTGTGTTCTGTGCTGAGCACTTCACGGCCAGCCTTCCTGCCTGCCCCTGCTCTCAGCAGCCACAGGCGCATGATACTGCCAGGATGGCACAGTGGGCTGAGGGCCTCCTCGGACAGCGCCTCCTCCTGGAGCACTGCCAGCTTAGGTGGCACAACGGCAGGGAGTTATTCACTTGGGAGCCCCTCATCTCCCTTGCACAATGAAAATACTTCATCTTTTTATCAGCAATACATAAGGTCTGCACAAGAAGTATTCATGACAACTTCTGGCTTGGCGAATTCTTCACGGGACATTTTATATTTGCTTGGTACATGGCTCAAGCAAACTCTTGTGCTTGTGTCAATGAGGGAAATTAACTGAACAATAAGCAACACTGAAATAAAGTATTAGGCAATATGTATCTTTGTTTTAAAAAAATGCAGTTTAGTTTTTTTCCACCCACAAACATGGAAAGTGCAGAAACCAAAGTTAATCTATATGATGTGTAAATGTATACTTTTATAAACAAGACAAATTAAAACAGAAACATTCAGAATTTAACCTGATTAAATATTTAGTTCAGTCCTGAGCTTTTGATATTTAATACAATATAGATAAAGCCACAGCACAAAAAGATTTTAAATTTATTTGATTTGCATACTAGAGAGATTCAACTAAACTTTGTTCATTTGGCTAGTAATATTCTTTTTGTACCTGTAATACTTAAGATTCTGATATACAAAACTGTAATAACATACTGATAATTCAAAGTTGACAACTAAATATTATATTCTTTTTACCCTGTGCAGAATAAATTCTACCTCTTTAAAATAGTATTTATAATATTAAAATTCATATTTGTCCATATGGTTTTGTGATCAAGTTAGTAAAATGTCTCATCACTGTGAATCATTGGGTTAGTACAAATATGATGGGGTTATTAAAAGCTGCCTATAAATAAAGAATATTATTGCTGATTTTTAAAATGTGGAAAAGGATTATATCAAAATAAGTTTGCCTCTCATGTTAGAAATGAGAAAATTTTATAACATAAAACCCAAAGCTTCTTGGTCACAATTGTTAACTATCAGCCAGAGACAGATTTTGTTTCTTTAATACTTGTCTGAAACTTTTTGTACTACAAAAAGTTAACAGTTGATCTGATGAAGATTTATAAAGCTGTAAATACTCCAATATAGCCTCTTCTATGTCAAACATTTAAAATGGCCGAACCAAACTATATATTAAACAGAACATAAATAAGACCGTAAATAAATAAATGAAGAAAATAAAATCGTACGGTAGAACTACACACAGTTCTATACACATTTTCATGGTCAGACTAAGAAGCTGAAAACAGCTGACCTTCATTTAACTCTACATTAAATAAACTTCTGTCTTTCACATTTAATCTCAGCAAGGAAGAATGGTATTCTTTTTCTAGTTTTCCTTAGTCATCCAACAAAACAACCTGCACAGCCACGAAGGACTAGATTCAGTTGACCACTAGGCTGACTTCTGTTCAAAGCAGGGTCACGTCCAGTTATATTTTCAAAGAAATTTGTATATAGTGGTGAAACATTTAGAAAAAAATTAAAATTTTAGGCTCAGAAACTGCTTAATTTGAACTCTTATTCTGATAATTATGTATAAGTAGTTTTAAGAAAATAAAAATTATGCAAATGAGGCTTCAAGCAAAAGGAACAGATCTTTTCCTTTAAGGGGTCCATTATTTTAAGATAATTTTTTATTTCTAAAGGAACTGATTTGCTTTGCTATATAAGATGGCTAACCTAACACTGCACTTTCCAGTATACCACACTGAGAAATAAGTATGGTTTAAATGGCCTAAAGTTTAAGTATTTTAAAAACTTAGTATTTATGCTGGCAAAGCCATACTGAGCACTTAACTTTTTAAAGACGTGCCCACACTGGGTAAGATAAAATTTTAAATTGGAGGACCTGACACTTTTGTCAGTTTATATCTTTGAACTCATTCATCCAGGATAGTTTTTTCTTTCGTTCTTTCTTCTTTTTTATTTTAAACACATGATTTGGCCCATTATTACTTCAAATTAATAACACTTCTAGGCATACTCTTTCCTTTGCTTCCCAGCGACCTAACACCGGTTATAGACAGAATGCCCTTCAACTGAGGGCTGCAAGGAAATTTCTAGTAGATGTCAGAAGTGTGTTGGACAAGCTTTTTTTTTCTTTTGGCAACTCTGATTCACTTAAGACACAGCCTTTCCTCTGTTCTTGGCGTCACCACATGCGTGCGGATGTTTCCCTCCGCATCACCAGTACTGTCTGTCCTCAGAGCCCAGGGCCACACATGCTACTCCTCGGCGTCAGGGAAGAAACCCTGGAGAAGGCCAGAAACTCACATGGGAAATCTTGCAAATTCAGGTCAGGTCAGAAGCAGCAGCTGCTCAGTTGCTGTGTTCCTTGAGTGTGTTTTAAGATAACTGCATTGTCTTCTCTCTGTTCTCACCCTCAATGCTACGGGTTACAAGCTCTTAGTGTAGTCAGGGGCACTGCTCCTTTGTGTTCTTCTACTGTTGTACTCATTATTTTTCATTTTTGTTTTCTCTAAACAACCCTGTTAAGGAAAAATGTGTTCCAACAAAGGTAATGGGGATGAACAGAACACCTATCTCGGCTGGCCTTGCAGCTGTGTGCTCACACCTATACCAGGCTCCCCTTCCAAGGAAGGAGCTGCTCTTACTTCAGAAATGCCACACAGCACTAAGCCCTTCACAGTCTGCTCACAGGAAGCAGAGAAAGCCAAGACCACCTTCTGCTGGGCCCAGCTGAATGGACAAACACTGGCGCTGCCTCTATTGCACTGTATGCAATAAGGTCCACTGCAGTGGAAACACGCACACGTGCAGCATTTGTGTACCAGCGCGGCCCAGTTTTGATATCTGATTTTTCTTCTTTAAACATACAGGACATTAAACAAAAGGTACTTTACAAATTGACATCTGGTTGACAATCTTGTGTGAATAAGAGCTGACAGTTATGCTACAAAAAACAAAACAAAACGAAAACAAAGCAAATGTTCAGTCTTCTGCCCTCCCTAAGAAAGTGAACAGGTGAGAAGCAATGTGTCCTGCCATGGGTCACACGTCATCAGCTGGCAGGGAAGGGATGCTGATCTTCGCTCGGGTGAAGTAGGCAATCTTCTCCCTAGAGGTGAGAGTGACAAAGCCAGCTTCAGTGTGATGCTGAGAACACTGTGACCATTAACACAGTCCCAGCAACTCCAGCAGTGTCCCCACAGCCAGGGAGGGGCATCTTTTCCCTGGGCAGAACACTCAGAATCCAGACAGCCTCTGCCTTTCAGGATGGCACACAAAAGCTGCAGCTCTGGTCCCCGTAAGTCACTTCAGATCAGGTTGGGGAGGTCCCTTCGAGAGTTTCCAACACTGAGCCAGATTTATTCCCTCAGGGGCTCATACCGATGCTTCTAAAGCAGGCAGTAGAGATTCAAAGACCTGCATGGAGACTTCTCAGCAATCCCAGAGATACACCCATGACAGCAGGGAAATTCTTTAGGTTAGCACCATGCTAAGGCAGGGACCACCTGGCAAGTGATATGGCTCAAACACAGACGGAGAAGAGGCATTTGACTCTCTTAAAGGGAAACACTACTCTGCATCCCAAAGCAGTGATAATAAGGCACTTAAAGGGAGAAGCTGGGAAGGATGGGGCAGAATGGTTTTCACATTTGCAGGGTGCTAGAAAAAATAAGATCTTAGGGTTGTACAGCTACCAAAGACAAGAATAGTCTACCTATCTCTTTATAAACACTCACATCATACCCACCACTCAGTCAACACATATGAACCAAGGGCATCTTCTAGAAATGAGACTGGAAGAGGATGTTCTAGAGACTGAGGAAAGGCAGAGGAGAAAAAGAAGAGTGAAGCTGAGCACACTGGGACAAGGAGGTAAAGTGTGATTAGTTCAGCTGCATGAGAGACAAGAATTTAACAAGGCAAGAGTCTGGGCATGATGCTGGGGAGGCCTTTCGGTACACTTAAAGGACAGCATATTTAGAATGCCTACATTGTCAGTGTCTATATCTGAGATAATATAAAGTTCTTGATTTCTAACTTCTCTGGAAAAATCAGAAAGCCAGGGAAATAAAGGGTTCCTACTTCCAGATGAAATGAACTGCTGGGGTGGGACTGCACCCAAGTGACAGGCAGAGTGGCCCACGCCCCACGCCCCACTCTCCCCAGTCTCTGACCGTCTGGCAGGTGCCAGTAACCTTGCAACCCCTCCCAGTGCCACCATACTTGCAGGACAGTGTGTCTTACATGGCGTATCACGCTCATCCTTATCTCCTGCCTAGTGGTATAAATGTGTTTGTTTCTTAAGAAAAGCCAGGAATGTTTATGCATTCTGTGTTTTGGTAGAACTGGGAGTTGTGGAGTTGTAAGATTTTCCACATTAGATAATGCTGCTTAATCTTGAAGTAACCCAGGGCATAATATGATTGCTGTCAAAATGCCAGTTCTAAATGCCCAAGTAACAATATTCCCCAGTTACAGAAGTGGTGCTCTAGCAGAATGGAGCTAGGAAAAATGTAACTCTCTAGTATAAAATGTCATGTGAGAAACAGAATCATTACCCATCATGCCTCAGCTTCCCTTCCTTCCACTTCTGGACTCTAGCTGCCCCAGTCCAGCAGCTGCCTGCAGTGCTGCCTCCTGGCCCTGCCCTGCCTCTGGCACCATGTACTGTTATAGACAGCTAAGTCAGGTAGAAATGTTATAGGCAGTCAGACAGGGTCAGGCCCTTGCGAGAGTCAGTGCAGAGGATGAGAACACATCACAACTGTGGCTGGAGGTGCACTCACTGAAGGCCAGGCCTCAGGATGAAGACAGAACAGCCAGGCCTCCCTGCCTCCCCAGGGGATAAGCAAAATACTATAATTGGTATCACCTGGCCCAATAAAGTCTAGCTAGACCTCAGTCACCCAGCGGTATGACCAGGACTTGACTCATCCCTTCCAGGAAGGTCCTTGTTCTTCCCATGTACACTTGCTACATGACCTGCTTCCCTGCTGGATCAACGTTACCTAAGCGGCTGTATTTGTAATCTTATTGGTTGGTTATCGTGTTGTCCCTCCTTGTACCTACCTTGTGATTTTGTATCCACTCCATGACTTTGCTCCATAAAACTTCCTTTGAGAAGCGGGCTCACTGACAACCTCTGAAGACCCCCTGTGTCTCTCAGGAGCCACCTCTCCCTCAGTAAGATTTCCTACTCCTCACCTCCACTGTTCCTTAGAACTCATTCTTCCGTTCTGGGCACATGAACTTGTGTACTGGACATCGAGCAGGCCGTGAGTTGCAATGTTTCCCTTATGGCATTTGGAGGTCCTGCCTCAGTTCTAACCCTTTCACCATGAGCCCTGCTCCACCACCCCTCACCGTCTTCCCCACACTTCAGAACACTGGCCCCTTCCTAGGGTTCTCCCATGCTGCCCCGAAAGCTTGTTAAAGTCTCCTCTGTACAAAACAGGAGGCAAAACTGAAACAAAGAACTAGTAATACAAAACCTTATCTGTGGCGCTCCTCCTGACTGCAGTACACAGTACTAAGAGCTTCCGCCTCCCCACTCCATCTCAGTTCTCTTCATTCTGTCCTGTTGTCTGACAGCACCGGTCTCCGCTTCCCGCCCTTCCAGCTTCAGGACCACACTCCTCTGGTTCTTCTCACCTCTCCATCTGTCCCTTCTTACATCTTCTCTGCTGCAAGGCCTAAAACCCACAGTGCCCAGCAGGCTTCCTCTCCTTTGAGGAAGCTTCCACTGCTTCCCATCTTCTGGCCCATCTGTGCTGACAAAACCATCGTGTTGAGGCAGAAGACTCCCAGTCCTTATACGATCCTGACCTTCATCCTGGCTTGAGATTTTGATTCTACTTATCTACCAACCATGTACTGGCATGGGGAAGTGCAAAGGCAGGACGGGACAGCCTCACTACGAATGTCTCCTTTCTCTGGATTCTCAGTCTCCGGTCCTGACCCTACAAGGCAGCACCCCTCTCTTCCCTGCCTTCCCATAAATTCACTGTCTCCTCTCATCAGTTTCTCCCTGGTCCTCTCTCCACAAGCCTCCAATATCTGCTCGCTCAGACCTGATCCCTACCACTGACTCTGGTGTTTGGAGACCTCGCTAGCTCCCTCACCATCTGGGCCACAGCAGAAACCTTCACACAGCATCGGAAGCCAGCTCTACTCAACAGGCTCACCCTTCTGGCAGCTTCACTGGCACACGATGGACTCAGCATGGACCTTTAAGGCTCTGCCGCTTTCCATGCGGCTCCTTCTACTCCAAGGCTCCACTCAACTCACTGGCCCCACAGCCTGAAGAGCTCTACACCCATCCTCGCCATGGGGGTTCAGATGCTGCTCGTCTACTATCTTCCCTCGTGTACCTGTGCACAGATGGGGGTGTCGCCTGCTGCTCTCATAGGCCCCTATTTATCCCTGTATTAGCTTTTGCCACATGATGTCACAATGATCTGGTTGTGTGCCTGTCTTCTTGGCCTCTCTGTTCAGGGCCTAGCACAGTGCAAAGCTTCAGAGGTCTAGAGCAAGCAGACAACAAAACCCCAAAGATCTATTGCTTTACTGCTCTTCTATAAAATACCCTGGGTCCTGCTAAGGGGAGGTGTTAAGGGTACTGAGAGCTGGGAACACTGTCTTCTTGGGGAGCCAGCGTGTAACTCAGCCATGATGTAACCTCAGAAAGGAGCAAACACACCAGTGTACATTCACACTGCAGAACAAACCTAATATTAACTTGCACTGTACTCTGAGGGGGAATTCCTGCAGAACCAGAAGACATGAGGACAACCTGAAAGCTGTCCCACACAGGGCCACTGTTATGATTTGTGTCCAGATGTCCCCCTAAAGCCTCATGCAGTCATGGGGCAGGTTTCTAGAGTTTATGATTGATTCATGGTTCAGTGCTGGGATTATGGGTGTGAGTGTTACACCCGCCTTGGGGTGAGCAGCCTGCATACAATGTAAGGGAGGGAAAGACTCTTGCTCTCTGCCACTCCTCTTTTTTTTTGTTCTTGCTGCTTTGCTGTTTTCTACCACCATAAACTGTTGCCCTCTGCCATGTGCCACCCTGCCTTGGAGCCAGTTGAATATGGACTGAAACCTCCACAAACTGTGAGCTACATAAACCTTGCACTCTTTAACTTTGGGTGTCTGATATTTTATCTCAGCAAGGAGAAAACAGTAACCAAGACTCACTTACCTGAACGACTGCACCTGCTGAGGCACCTTCCGGCTCTGCTCCCGAAGCCGGGACACGTCCTTGGAGACCTGCCTCATCAACTTCTCGGCATTTAAATCTTGCTTCTGCTCTTCTTTTGACTGCTCAGCCTGTGAAGAAAATAAGAACAAGAAACCCAGAGAACATCAATTAGAGGTCCTTGACAACATGCTTAAGCCTTGACAGGTGGGATGAAGCCAGACAGGTAAGCTGGGTGACCAATGCTGTCCTTTTTCATCCATCAGGGAGCCACATCCGCCTGCTTATCTCACATGGCTGGGACTGACTTGGGCAAGTTTAATTGCACTTACCCTCTCCATGTGCAATACACAGATTATTTTATTCCACCTGGAAAATGCAGGAACCCTCAAGAAAGAAACTGCAAACGACTTCAAGGGCTATTTCCAAGAAATACCGCTGTTAACATTTTTGGTGAACATATTTTCAACCTCTTCCTCATCTTTGCTATCCTTTTTGCTGGCTGGCCATTTAAAAAACTGCTTATTTGGGCTGGGTGTGGTGGAGCATGCCTGTATCCCAGTACTCTGGGAGGCTGAGGCAGGATGGTGAGGCCAGCCTGAGCAACTTAATGACTTAGCAAGACCCTGTCTCAAAAGAAAAAGCAGAGGCTGGAGATGCAGCTCAGTGTGAAGGCCTAGGGTTCAGTCCCCAGTACCACAAAACCAAACCAAACAGGCAAACATTGTTGGTAGAGCTTATCTACCAACTGACTGCACATGTACATAGTTCAAAGATCTTTACAACTGTAACACACCCATGTAAAGTGCACAGGCTGAAATAACAGAAAAAACATTCCAGGGCCCTGCCCCATATCACCCTTCTGTCTCCACCATGAGCACCACCAGCATTCTGACTTTTAACAGTGCAGGCTACTCTTCCCACTGTGTTCTTTGTAAGCACAGAATGGTACAGCAGGCACTTACTAGCGTTTCATTTCTTTTGCTTAACAATGGGCTTATAAGACTTATACACACTATTACACGGACCTACATCTTAGTTCTCACTAGTATATAATATTCCATTATGCAATTTCACCACGCTGTTTGTGTTACTGTTGATGGACATTTGGATGCTTTAAATGAATATATTTTTAAAATATAATATAATAAAATATGTTATATTTCAAACTGCCATTTCATTTCATTTCACTTCATTCCATTCAGTCGCCCAATCAAATATGTGCTGACTGCCCTCTAAGGTAAGCTGGTACATGTTAGTGATAAAGAGCAAATTTCTAGAGCTGTGTTATGTGAATTCAAATTCCATTTCCGTCATTTTACAGCTACTTGACTTTGGGCAAGTTGCTTGATCTCTCTGTATCTTAGTTTCTTCATTTGTAAACTGAGAACACTTTAGAGGCTTGTTATGTTTCAACGAGTTAATATATGTAAAGCATTTACAGCAGTACCCAATACATCATTAAATGTACTATTTCAGTGTTTGGCTATTACTGTTGCAATTTTCACTATAAGCTAAGTAATCAGGAGTTAGGAAAACAGTGTGAATAAGACAGATGGAGACTACTTGGGGAGAAAATAGAAAAGATTATTTAAAATCAATAATAAGATTAATAACACGTTGTTAATATTTTCACAGGTTGTTTTTTTTTTTTGGTGGTGTTAGGGATGGAACCCACAGCCTCGTGCATGTGAGGTGAGTGCTCCACCACTGAGCTAGTCCATCCTCAGTCCAGAATTTCATTTTCTGGAAGATGATGTAAAATGGTATTGTGTTTTTAATTTCAAATTCTACTTGTGTACTGATGGCATATGGAGAAGCATTTGACTTGTTTTTTTTTTTTTTTTGGGTACCAGGAATCGAACTCAGGACCTTGCACTTGCCAAGCAGGTGCTTGTGCCACTGAGCTATATCCCTGGCCCAGCATTTGACTTGTATATTAACCTTGCATCCTGCAAATCTGCTGTAATCACTTATTAATTCTAAGAGGTTTTGGTGGAGCTGATTCAGATTTTATACAGAGACAATCATGTCATCTATGAAAAAAGACAATTTTAACTTTCTTCCCAAACTGTGTGTTTTTTCTTGTGTTACTTACTGTATCAGCTGGGACTTCTAGGGCTCTGGGGAGCTCCCATGTGTTATAACTGACATGTTGTTCCTCTTACTCTATTTTTTTTTTTTTTTTTTGTTTTTTCTCCAGTACTGGGAACCGAACTCACGACCTTGCGCATGCCAGGCAGGCGCTTTTGCCGCTGAGCTAAATCCCCAGCCCCCTGTTCCTCTTACTCTAAATAGTAGAAACCAGTCACTCTTATACCTGTCACAAAGGCCTTAATTAAAGTTAATTAAAATCTGCTTGTAGGACCATTTCGGTATAGTTATTCAGCACTACCCATTTCCACAGGAACTACAGATTCTTTTCAAGGAGCTCTGGGCTGCCTTCTATCTTCTCTTCACAGAGCATTCATTTACAGGATTTGCTCAGTGTCCCCACCAGCACAGAGTGGGAGGGCTCCCAGGGCAGGCACTGTGCCTGGATGCCCTCCTCAGAGTCCCCAAAGCCCCCACACATAGCACATAGTAGGTGTCAGTGAAGATGCGCTGAAGAAATAAATGGGTAGGTCTGTGGGAAAGGAAGGTTTTTAGATGACAATCTTTTAATTTAAAAGGCGTTCAAAAGATAAATGATAGAACAGCAACTGAAATAACAGGAGCACAGAGAGGGCTTTCAAGGGGCAAACAAAAAGGGACACAATAGGCAATTCACAGAATAAACACAAATGTTAAATTCACAAGAAAGGCCATTCACTCTCACAATAAACAGTGATCCCTTTCTTACCACCACCTTGTACCTAGTGTTGCAAACACTTTTGGCAGTGCAGGGCCTTTGCACTGAGCTACATCCCCAGCTCTTTTTTATTTTGAGACAGAGTCTTGCTAAGTTACTAAGGTGCCCAGGCCAGACTCAAACTGTAGAGCCTTCGCCTTAGCCTCCCAGTGTGCTGGAATTAGTGCGCCGCAGTGTGGCTGCAAACACTGTAAAGGACAGAAGGCGCGTAAGCCATGACTCTACAGCAGTGAGGGCGCTGTGCTCTCTGCTCCCCAGAATGAAACATTCCGAGCCACACTTGTGGCCCTTACTAGTAGTAGAGGTGTGTGTACGTGTGGGAAGACACTATCAATTTAAGGCAGAGGCCGGGGAGACAGCTCCTCAGGGTACTCCTCCCGCATGGGTCAGCACTCTCCCTCGGCCTCCATGTGCTTCAGTGACAGCAAATGAAATGTGCCCCTGCTGCGTGGAGACCACTGGTCATGATGATGACAGCTAGAGTGCTCCAGAAAATGGTCAGCACAATTTAGAACACTGGTATCTGCTTGCTGCTTATTGCAGCTTAGAGCTAGAGTGATCAGCTCAGGCCAGAACTAAACTGTTAGACACAGATGGAAGAAAGGGCCAGCTCTGCTTAGGATGGAAGCTTGCAGCCTGTAATATAAGTTGATGGACAATCTCACAGTTGGGATCCTTCTGGACCTCAAAAGCCTACTGCTTCAGTGGTAACTCAAGCAGTTTTAAATTTTAAGAGATAAGACTGGTGCTGGCAACAAGGGACTTAAAAGATGTTGTCTTCCCATCTATGCCCACTGTTCCAGAAACCTTCAAGGTTAGGAAGTCAAGAATGGGGCTTTCAGGCTTCAGAGTCGTGACAAAGGCAAGATCTTTTGAAAAAGGGAAGGGGACCTAGAGGTGGAGGGAGGGGAAGAGCATGAAAAAAGAACTAAGGTGTGCTATGTACACATACTCACAAGGAATATCATTATGTACTGCAAACATGTACTAATAAAAAACCCTTTAACTATGGTTCACAGTCAAATCAACGCTACTAACCACTTTCCCATTTCCCAGTTTACTAATATAGTAATTTGATTTCCCACAGGATGTTAGAAGTCGTTTCTCTGTGTATACTAAGCCAGTAGTTTCTGTGGAAAAATGTGCATAGATAAGTACAGAAATGTTTATTTCCACACATCATTATAATGGAAAATTTTGGACATTATCACTGGTAGTAGAGTTAAATAACTGATATATTTATAAAGGGTTTCTACATTTATTTCTACATAATTTATTACAAATAATGAATTACAACAACACTTTCTAATATGAAAAGCTGTTCATCATCTAGTACTGGAATTAAGTGAGAGACAAAAAGTGTCTTTGATGATCCCATTTTTGTGGATCTCTTCCAAATAATACTAATCCACAACACACAAGGGCATAAAAAAGAGCAGGACACACATTCACTGCCAACAGTGGTCATCTCTGGGGACTGGGATTCTAAGGGGAACTTACATTGTTTGCTTTATATAGTTCTGCAGTATTGGATTTACAATAGGCATGTGTTACATGAACTTAAAACTTCTAAAAACTTTTCAGGAAAAGTACATTGAACTTATTTTAAAACTGAAAGTAAAAATCCAGTGGCACTTTTAGGAAAGATGAGATTTACAAAATTATTTATTCAGTAAGTATACATACAATATATAGAGTCACACTGCTTCATGGACTGGAACTCCAAGGACCCTACAAGGGGGTACCCTGGGTTCTTTGCTAAAAACCACCTCCTGCAATAACTTCTGATGTTTTCATCACAAAAATTCCTTTTCCAACTTTGTCTACTATTCCACCTTTACCTCCCCTTTTGAAAGATGTTGTCTATAAAAGCAGCCTGTATAAGGAACAATTTTCTCTTGATTACGTTGTCATTGGTGGGATCATTACTCAGAGCTTGTGAATTTATGTAATTCAAGTTCAGAGGGGACAACTGTGATATGTTAGTTACTTAGTAAAGTCCTATCTTTAATAAATTGATGATTTTTCATTAGGTCTCAGATAAGGAAGTACTGCCTGGTATATACAGAGAAATGCCTTCTAACACACTGTGGTACATCAAATTACTACACTGGTAAGCATACTAAAATATTGCTGCTATTTCAATTCTTGATAAATTACAAGAATAAATCAATCCTAAAACACCCATTTGCTGTGTGACTCAAAAGAGATCAAGAGAAACCAGAGAAGGAACATGTACATGCAGGGTCATATGCAGGTAAAAACAAGTGACCCAATTCT